CTGAAACACTGTCCGTGGGGGTGTCCGGCTGGCAGCAGGGGCTGTGGTGCTCCACGTGTTTGCTGAGCTACCCACAGCACTGACCCTGCTCCTTTTGCAGGAGCCCGGGGCTGCTTCCCCAGATTGAGGCAGAGAAAGGCCCCGGAGCCAGCTCTCATCAACAGAAATCCCCTATTTTAGCATCACTGGGAAGCAAGTCTGTTGCTGGGAAATCTCACTTCTACTGATTTGTAGGAGCTTTAATCTTGAAGGGCCTCTCAGTGCTTTCCATTCCCTCTTCAAGCACCCTACATCTTCTCCTACTTCTGCCCCTGGCTGGGGCTGGGGTGCAAGCCCCCAGCATCTCCAAGAGATGTAAAAGCAGCCTGGGAATGAGGAGGGTGGGTACACTGGAGGAAGGACAATGGGAAAACCAGCCACCACAGGAGCCGTGGAAATGGTTAAATATTTGGGGAGTCCAGATCTGCCGCATCTTCCGTGACAATCTGGTCTCCCCAGCATCCTCGTAAATGAGAAACCGCATAAGCCTCACACTATTATTGCTACGGAGCATTAGAGTCTCTCATTTAGGATAAACATTCTCATCTCCAGCAGAGCATGAATAACATTAAATGAGATAGTTAAAATGTTTCAGGCCAATTATAGCCCTGGTGTAACTTCGGCAGAGTTACACCAGGGATTAATTTGATCCAAAGAGTTCTGCCTCCTGTTCTGAACTGGGATTCCAGCATGGGTAATTACATCCTGCCTCTCTGCACTTCCTCTGGAGTTTTAATTGGGTTGAATGGACCAAATCCGCAGCAAGTGTAAATCAATGTAATTGAGCTCTCTCTGGAGAGGAACCCTGCTGATTTACACCCTCAAATCTGGGCCAGCCTTCTCCCTTTCCTCTCTCTGCCAGTCTCCAGCTGCCAGGGCGGGGGGGGCTGGAGGCTGCCTGGAGAAGGGCAGCACGGGCTGAGGTTGGTGCAAGGAAACTGCCCCGACCCAGCGGCAGCCTCCCTGCGAAGGACTCAACTTCTGCTCTTTTTTTTCAGAAAGTCACCGAAGTTCCAAACCGAGGGCCGGGAAAGCCCTACCTTGCCCCTCCGCTGCATCAGCGCAGGTCAGGTCTGCCCTGGGGTGTGGGCAGCCCGGCGTGGGTGCACAGCGCCCCGCACCCTGCCGCCC